TGTTAAACTTTAGTAAATTTAGACACAGTAAAAATAGAACATTAGAAATTAAATGAACAGAGGAATGGAACTGTACTGTAGATGCAAAGCAGGAGTGAGGAAATACAGTTTCTGTGTGACTCACAAGCACTATGATTTTCATTGAATACTCAGAGGTGGTACCTAATTTTTGTCTTTTTTGATACTTGTTTGTCTACGTCCACTTAGTTGCTTTTTAAATTGTCTCTTGATTTCATTTAAACTCTGCTCTGATGTTCCAGTATGACATTTCAGGCTTTATCTAGAACCAAGGGTGTGTTTGTGTGTTTCACTAAAAGGAAATCAGTTCTTAAAGTAGTATTATGAGCATAATATGAAAAGTGTGTTCTTCTTTCTCTCATGGATGGATAATCATCTTTAACATGTGAGTGTATGTATTCACTTTCGGAGTCACACAGAAATACATCAGCCTTCCCCAAACTGTTTCATATAACTCAGTCACCCCACAACTCACATGTTCCATAGGATATTAATAAATGTTCCAAAAACAGGATCCTTGGTTAAATTTGCTTGCAAAACATTCATAGGTTATATCGCCCTCTGAGAGTTTTACAGAGGCTATTTGCATATTAAAGGCTCTGAGAGGCCCTTCAGTAAAATAACAATGCTGATGATGCTGTTCAACCAAATCTATTTTCTAAAATAGTTTGAGAAATACCGAGATATGTACAATGAATTACTTGGTTGAATTTATTAACGGAAAATGTTAATACTGTTTTATCAATTGAGGCACAACTCAAGACCATAAAAAGAGCCTCTCTCACTCCTATGTAATCTCTGTATTTGATAAAGATGTATGTGGTCCTATCCTAAACTTTACAATTACAGCCTGGAAACTAGGTTATTAACAAACTTCCCCACCCCCCACCCCCATATAAATGAAACATTTCTTTATTTCTTTATTTTTAATTTCATTCCTTTTTGCCTCTTTCCTTAATTTCGTAAATCCACTCACTGCCAACAAAAACTCCCTGAATCTTGACCCAACCCATCACTTTTTGGGGAAAAGTTTTACTAAATACCAGTTTACTTTTGCCTACTTCCTCGCTTCACGCTTCATCTTGACCTACTAGCATATTTATCCCTCCTTCACCATCCAAGCCTTCTGAATTCTTTCAGGAATCTCCACTTTGTATCCTGTCTTCAGTCCAAACCTGCTCAGTGGTTTTTTTTTTTTTCTCATTTGATAGAAAATACAGATGTGTGCCCAAATGTGAAGAACATTCTCCCTGAGACATGCTGACATTATAATCTGGAACAATCCTTGCATCTCATCTTGTGTAGTGTGATTCAGGCTCGCCACAGCACACAGGTGTTTCTAATTCCCTTCAGTTCCGCAGGTCCACATAGAGCCCTCTGGTAGACGGGGGAGGGTTGGCTAGCTCTTGGTCTATGGATCTAGTCAGTCCTACACATTGAGCTTTCAAGGGTGACTGGTGAAGAGGATACACATCGCCAGTGTCTTTGATTTGAGAAGCTCCTTTCGTACCCTACACCAGTTTCTCTGTATTAATTCACAAGGAAATTTCTTTGATTTTCTTTGATATGTCGATGACCTTGATTTGGCCTTGCACAAATGTCTTTCAGGTTGGTTGTCTCTGCCTGTTCGCTTTCCTGCCTCTGGCAGTCTTGGTCTAGCCATCACTTTGTCTGCATTTTTCTAATACCCTTGGACCGTTTTGCATTCTGCTGTCTGTCAACTTAGCACCCCTGGGTGATGCTCTCTATATGATTGGGCTCAAAGATAGTTACGTCGACAGTAAGTCAGTGCCTGTCTTTGCCCACAGGAGTGCGTCTTGACAGAGTACGTGGAGGTCGGCAGAAGTACAAGCGCAGAATAGATGCGGAGAACAGCCCGTACCTGAATCCTCAGCTGGTTCAGCCAGCCAAAAAGCCATGTAAGTACAGCAGACACGTCTGGCTTTGCAGCACACGGAATCCACCCAGTTGGCTCTCGGTGCCTCACTTCTGGCATGCCCGTTCCTACTGACTCCAAGGAGACTTCTCTTTGTTGGGGTGGGGGGAGGGAGGCTGTGGCTCTGTTCCCATGGACTGCCTTTGAAGAAGAACAGCAGCTCGGCTAATTATATATTTTTTTTCTTAAGGTTTTCTCTGCACTCCCCCCAATTTTTTTTTTTTTTTTGTAAGCTGGTCATTCTACGGAAGCATAAGCCAACCAGGGCATAGCTTATATAGTGCGAATTTTACATTTACTGGTTATCTTTATTTTCAGAGGTACAGAAAATGGTTCGTACTGTGATCATTAGTTCATTGGAGCTGTTAGTTTCAGATTTCACAAGAAAGCGATTTTGTAGTTTTCACTACCTAAATGAGTTTGACTGCTCAGCCTCCCAATGAAAATACATTAGGAGCCTCATTAATTTGAAGCTGTAGATGCTTAACGCACTAGCTGGCAATGGATTTAAAACAAGAATGGGCCCTACTAATAACAAGCATAGGTTGGCGGTTCCATCCCAGATGCCCTTATGGGCATTATGAATTGTTCTTTAAAAAGCCTGTGGTTTTATTATGCTGGGTTGCAATTTGAAGGGATGAGGGGGTACATAGCTAAAATGCAAGCCCCGGTCCCTTTGTCATTAGCTAAAAAGAGCTAGAATATAGATCGCAGCAGTAACTGTATTCCGTTTTCTGGAAAATCAGTTTATGGCTGTAGTGCAACAGAGCTAACCTGTTAGGATGTTTAGGCATAGCATTTATACTGGGCACTGAGAAGTGCTTTGGTGAAAACATTTCTCATGTGTAGCTGTCTTTTTCTCGGAAGACACAACCAGAACTCACCAGAGGAAGGGGCAGCTATAGCAGTTCTAGAAAAGACGCAGATAATTTTTGATCTGCTTTCGAGGGATGAGAAAGTGTCCGCTGCTAATTCAGCTTCTCCAGGAGGGGTCGCTGCTGTGCATCATACATGTGAGCATATGGAGATCTGTTAAATAAATAAAACAGACCCTGAACTGTAAATGGAAGGACATTTTAGCTATGTCAAAGGAAAAACAACCAGTTTTACATAAAATTAAAGCTTAAGTGAACATATGGCATAGTTTCCTTTTGCCTTTCCAAAAAACATTATGTTGATTATACCTTCAATTGTCCAATCTGGCATCTCCTCCTCAGCCGGCATAAGCTGTTTGGCATTCTGCACATACAATCTAGGACTGCATTAAGCAGATTTTGCACATTATAATAAAAAAAACTTTCTGATAATACAATAAAATGCAATAAACACTAATGCTTAATTTCATTAGAGGTTTAGTTTTCCTGGATTCACTAATATGCAGACTGCCCATTTCTCATTCATTTTGTACGAACGTCGACTGAAACCATTGATGATTTCCTCTACTGAGAGAGAAATGAGCGCTGGCCTATTTGTAAGTCCACCTGATAGAGAAACATCTATGGTTTTCGGCGTAAACCTGAGAAATTGGGAAGCGGCTTGTCAAGTACCTTTAAGAAGATTACAGCAATTTCCGTGAGCGCCATTTGTCTGAGATAAAGAGGACTCCTAATAAATCATTACTCATTATCTCAAGGCCTCTGTGTTAATTTTCCTGAGTCCATCCAATTAGTGTGTTTTTGTAACAAACATTTATAAAACTTAATTTTCAGATCCGGTCAGATAAGTGTCAAGAGACTCTGCCTGGGCTTCGCTGAGAAAGTGGCTGGGGGAGATTTCTGGACCCTGACTGATTGTTCGTGTACTACAAAAGCCCAGGAATGAAAATTGGGTTCTATTGATTCTAATTAGGGAAACATTAAATAAGATTTACCTAGAAACAGTGCTGCCGGCTCTTCCATTTTCTGAATGATAGGAATTTCTAAGCTTCCACCAAATTCCTCTGACCCCTCCGGTCAAGTAGCCATCGACTTGGGTAAAACAGGTAGCATTTTCCCTGCACTGAAAGAACTCAAGTCAAGATTTCCTTCCGTTACATTTTTGTGCCCTTTATTACTGCATTTATCCTAATCCTGAGAATCTAGTGGTTGCTGACAGTTTTTGTTGCATTGTCAGAGCAATGAAAGTTGAAACTTTCCCAAGCGTAACTAAAAATACAGGGTGCTGTTTCTATAGTGTATATGAGAAGCAAATGTCATTCTTTGCAGATCCTACTAATTGAAAGAAAAAGGCATCTATTTAGTTTTGATTCTTTTCTAGAAAATATGATATTTGGGAATATTTCCTCCCAAATCTGCATTTTCAACTTGATAGTAATTGAATATTACAGCCAATGAGTGATTATCTGTTAATTTCTTGAAATAAATGGAAATCAGGTGGCAGCCATAGTAATAAAATTTTTACCTAGATCAGAAAAATTACCGATTATAGTTTGAATCTCTCCTTGTTATGTTGTTAAAGGAGATTAAAAGAATGCTATGTTTTTAATTCTAAGGTATATGATGTCTTTTCATTTTGAGTTTAAAAAGTTAAGAACTTACAGAGAAAGGCAAATGGTCCAGTAAACACGGAGGAACCTTTGGCTTGGCTCACAAAGATCCCATTTAATATCCTAGTTTTTTAGAGTAATAGTACTTAGAACAGTGAAATGGCTGGGTTTATTCTTACCTATTTGAATCTCCTCACTTAGAAGAAAGTATCAAATCTAAAGCTACCCATAGAAATTGAAAATAGGGCCAACAAGAAAAATCATTCCGTTGGTAAGGCTTTATAACCCCTTCCATAAACTCTCACATGCCCCTGAGCAATAAAACACATTTGATGTGATGCTTTCCATTTGTCTCTAGTGTTTATTTTATGAAGGATTTTAAAAACATATATCACAAATTCCAGACAGATAAATCTGCACCAGAGAATGAGCTAAAGACAATGGACGAAAACAGAGGATTAAAGAATTAGACACTCCAAAGAGAAAATACTGTCACACTTAAGTAGGAGTATTCTTCTGGAAACCGACATTGGCTATATTTGGAAGATTGTCTGGCTGTGTGGGGAGGGGGAGAAAGGAAAAGAAATTCCTGTTTAATGCATCCCACAGAGATAGAGTTATACAGTCAGTAATTCACCCAGGCAGCAGGGCTCCGACCTTTGCTCGTCTTTAAAGGAATTAAGACAATTAATGACTTTCATGCCCATTATGACTATGAGCATTAGTAGTTCTTTTCCTCTCACATTATGTTCTATATTTCAGTGGTTTATGTGGGTTTTTATTTTCAAGCTGTTGTGTACTATTTAATCTGCTTCCCCAAATCCCACTTAAGAATCAAAGAGCAAACCCAGAAAGCATCTAACTTCTCTTATCTGTCTGCTCTAAAAAATTTCATTACAGGACAGATGCTTCATTCCAGCAAAAGCAGGTAGAGCAAAGAAGAAGGGAATGCATACTATCCCAACGGCAGCGGGTTATTTCTTGCTATGGGTTTTCCTGAGCACTGTTTAATATATGTATATTGAACCATAAATGGAATATTTGGGGTTTATTACAGGCGATTTGAGGTTTGTTTTTTTTTTTCCCCAAAACATACCATACTTTAGAATGTATGAAAGAAAGATGATGCTACTAGTGATCTTGTAGTGCTCTGGTCTGATCCTGCAGATAACAAGATTGTCTCCCATTTGTTGGTGGCTGAACCGGAGAAGATCTATGCCATGCCTGACCCTACCGTCCCCGACAGTGACATCAAAGCCCTCACTACACTGTGTGACTTGGCCGATCGAGAGTTGGTGGTTATCATTGGATGGGCGAAGCATATTCCAGGTACATTTTCTGAAAAGAAAAAAAAAAGAAATGAAAAAGAAAAGAAAAGGTTGCAAGGACTTCCCTGGGTTGTATATGTCAATGTAGGCAAATTCACAATTTCCCCATTAGGATTTTTTTTAAACCTTTACAGTTGTTTTTATCATACCTAATTTAGCGCTTCCCTGATCCTAATAGAATAATAAGCCTTTTTATAGCTGCGCCATCTTGAACTCTTGTTAATTA